CGCGCCAATGTACATGGGTTCGTTTTCGAACGAGGAGCCCGCGTACAGAGGCACGTTCGCTTCCCCGACTGAGATTCTGCCAAGCGTTGCGACGTTCGCTTAGGCATATGGAGAAAACAGTTGCGCTCCTCCTCGCTCTTAAGCTATCTGCGGAACTATCGACCGCGCCGTTCAGAGTAGTGCCTAGGATCTCCATCACAGTATCGGCGTCACTTTCTTTTTCCTGCTTTCTGGTCCCTGTGGGGATTTCCCTTGGCATAGCGCCTGTGATCGTCATTTCAATCGGAGCACGTAAGTTAGTATGACCAGCAGCATGGAGTTTGCTTTCAGCTTCGAGGAGATGCTCGACTTGCATCTTGCGGATGAGGGGATTGGCGAGGTGCGTGGAGAAGTGCAGAAGGACGCGCAACCGGAGGTGATAACTATCGCTGTAACCCTCCCATCTACCTATCTACCTAATCTAATTATGTTTTAAAACTTTAGTAAGTAGAATGGTTCTCTCATGCATATTCTCAACGTTATGATTATTTTTGCTTTCCATATTTGGAACCTCTGATGAGCTAGCATTTGGCAGGGCTAGCGAAAAACATGTTTAAGGGATTTGCCAATACCCCAGCCAAACATAACGTCTGAACTTTCACCTACCTTTCTTATGGTAAGCGATTAGCTGACTTTTATCGATTACGGACTTACCACTTGTGTTATCCTTGGCTGTAACCCTTGGCTGTTATGATCTGATCTGCCTGTGTTTTACCGTTAATTTTATCTCTGTTGGGAAATCTCTTCTCGGTCTCCACTACTTCGTACGATCTTTCGTTTCCAACCTTTGCTTGTCGTTCTCCTGGATTGGGCCTTTTATGTTTTGATCGTGTTTGGGAATTGGGAGTTCAGCTGTTGTACGTAGGTGATGAGTCATGAGTAATGAAGACGTTACGTTGAGGGGAGCCTCTGGAACGAAGTAATGAGGGATGCATGTTGAGTCTTGAGGGAGAATGCAATTATGAGTAGATTAGGCGACATGGGTATGAGTAGAGTATGCACGAGCATTGATGAGAGTGTATTGATGGTTATCGGTTTCACTGGGTTGATAGCTAGGAGAAGTGTTCGTCGCTTGGTTGAAGAGTGAGTGTGTGGGAAGGATTAATGTTAGTGGGGCGATAGAGATGAGAGTTATAACTACTCTCCCATCTGGGTGTTGATCTTTGTACGTAGGATGCAATCTCTAATAAAGCTCAGTTACAGACAGCTCCTTTGCAATGATGAAGCCTTCGATAATGTTTTTTGTTGTGCGAATCTGTTGGGATAGGGGCTGTGACCCTGGTTTGGGGGCTTGAGGCATAAGCAGTTATCTGAGCTGCATCGGCATTTTCGTGGTATCTTAATCGGCTGAGTAGATTAGTCTTCGTTGGCAGTTTTTCAACACTATTACCAGTATTTTCAATTGGGTTTCTTCTGGAATGGAGAAGTTACTACGGGATTCCATGAGGTTTGGATTGGTGTGATTTCGTTTGCAGCTATGGCTTGAAAGTTTCGGGAACTGTGTGTATTTTTTGGATTTTTTTTTGGGGCTAACGCTATGGTTGAATTGATTTCGATTTTCTGCTGATAAAAACCTGATGCTTTATCGTATGATCTCCTGTCTGTGAAATGGTGCCCAGCGGCAAATGTCATGCTATTGCAGTAGATCATGTCATCAAGGTGAATGTGGGAGAGTGAGGGATTATGTGGTTGCTTTATCTTGTGAGGTAACGATGAACTGGAGCACGTATATATTACGTGTTGAGGCCACAGAAATATGTGTTCACACACATCTACACACACACACCATGACACACACATACACACATGCGGCCCCCAGCCCACCCGCCTGCGCCAAAACCCACATGCGCAAACGCGTCAAACGCGTTTACCTGCGTTCACCACGTTCAAAACCTGGACGCGAAACGCGCGTTCAATGAACGCGCGGTAAAACGGATAATGACCGTGCGTTGTATTCGGGGGAAGAAGGTAGTCCAAGTTGCCCTCTATATTGGTAGTGTGATGGTCCTGAGTGCTGATTGGACTGAGGGCATACTCCGCAAAACATGCGAATTTGAAAATGGCCTATTTGAGGTTTTGGGCATGGTTCCGGTCGCACTACTGTACCTTTTCAGATGGGATAAGGCCCTGGACGTCTGGAGGAATAGCGATTTGGTACTTCGCTGGTCACACAGCGCCGTCCACAAATTGCGCAAGAACTTTCGTGAACGGATTTTCACCAATTCTTGAAGAAAATGCAGAAAAATAAATATGGCATTTGCGGTCACCTCCAGAGGTGACCGCAAATTCCCTTGCCCCGCGGCTACACAGGCCGCTGACAAGTGGGCAGTGCCACTCGAATGGTACATTTAGGACTTTGGCAAATCTGTGTGACAGGTCCTGTACCTTTTGGGGGGGGGATTTGGGATTATGGGTCATAGTGTGAGTATGCCCTGGGCCCAAGTCCCACTAGCAGCGCTGAGATACCTCACTGAGCATTCAATCCCACGTGACAGGGCGTGACCTCAAAGATGCTAGACGTCCCTGTGAATCCAGCGGTCGATTTAAGGAAAGAAATTTTAATTTCCTTTTCTTGTTTTTCTTTTTAAATTATATTGGAAAACAGAGTTAAATGCCTTTTTCTCAAATAGAACGCCCCCTACCCGAGCGCCCTTCCGTTGAGTTAGCTCTCATTTTTTTCTCTTGGTAGCCAGCTCAACCACGATTTCTCACGGAATGACAACTTTTATTGACATAATAATGAGCCTGGTTTCTGACGTATCATAGTACCGTACGTCTGAAGCCCAATTCTGCAAAAGGAGCAACCAGCGGGTCTTCCTGCCAACAGGTAGTACTTTCACACGAGTTGTTGAACTTGGCCGCGTTTAGTGGATAGGTGCATTCAAGAGGAAGTTATTTTCCTCACGCTGTCCTGTTTTCCTGATTGTGACCTTCATGGGTCGTCATGTGTGCGTGTGAATTCGGGCACAGGGCGTGAGGAGAAAAGCCAAAAAAAATGAAATAGGAAAAAATGATAAGAAAAGTAGGTCCGGACATTTAAAAAATAGCTTGCTTGATTTTTAATGAATTAAAAAATGCTTGAAAAGATGTCACTCCCTGGAGCTAGCTCAACTCAACTGTGCAAGTGGGACAACTTTTTTTGTATATTTTAATGGTTTTTAACTGTTTTTTAAATGAATTAAACAAAATTGATTTCTGTTATATTTCTTTTTATTGTCTATTTTTTGTATCTGCCTCCCACGTTGGAGAAGTGCTCGCCTCGTCAGACGGGATCTTCGGGAAAGGACTCAAAGGAGGCAAGCCAGCCTCAACTTAAGGGCTAACCTTTTCACGTGGACGACGAGGGAGACCGCACAAAATCGGTGGTGCAACTACAACATCTTAGCAGTACTATGCAGAAGATGTCCCATACCCTGTCTACGTCCCGACTGCAATAAAGCCGCCAATAAAACCGTCACGTATGACGGAAAGAATGTAACTGCCCGCGATTTTTATTTTTTTTTGTAGCACAGCAAGGCGCTTTGCGCAACGCCTCAAAGTCTTGAAAACGCCCCCCCCCTCCAAAAGTCTGGAAATCCAGACCAACGTGAATGTTTAATATCAAATCAAAAATCTAGTAGCTGCCTCCTAATTGGTCGGCGCTTTCTCATGGGCACGACCACACACAGCATCAGGCAGGCCCGTAGATGCGAAGTGAGATGTGCGGTTCCTGTCTGTCACCCGCCTCCGCACGAAAACGTCAGCCACATAGTAGAATACGACGCTAGTGGGTCCAGGCCCCTAAGGTACGATAGTGCAGATAGGGGGTGCGCTGGGAGAATTAACGTGCGGAAGGTGGCCTGCCCTGTCAGGACAACCATGTGCAGCCGTTGCTAGCGATCGCCATGGGTCTTGTCCTTGGTCTCTACGACACCCTGGGCTTTTAGAATTAAAAAATATTAAAAAAGGGAAAAAAAAACGAAAAAGAACAGGACTCCTAATCCCCTTGTTTAAACTTCTCAGTGATTCTCAGTGGCCTTCGGGCCCCTGAGGCGAGGTCCCACTACTGAAGAGGAACGAATAGAAAGCCTGAATCTGGATATGTTTTATGCAGAGACGCAGAAAAGCAGTTCAATCTCGATTTCCTGCACCTCTCCACAAACACGTCCAGATGCAGGCATTCTATACGATCCTCTTTGGTAATGGGACCAGGCCCCTGAGGGGGGTTGGAATTAAGTTTTCAATTTCAACCAGCAATAGACGCGTCTCGGATACCCCGAGACGGACTGCATCATTGCCCCAAGTGCAAGACCTGGGGCGTGGTCCCACTAGCGAAGAGGATGGGATCGGATGCCTGAATCTGGACGAGTTTATGGAGATGTGCAGGGAATCGTTAAGTTGAACAGGGTCCGGGTATAGGTGCAAGTTAGGCGTTGGGACTGGGTATAGCGGCTATTCCCATCTTTTTTCCCCCCCTTTTTTTAAATAAATGCCCCAATCTATTCGTAGGGAGCAGCATGTGCTGGGAACCGGGCCCAGCGTCCCTCATGAAATTCTACAGCTGAAATACGGGGGCCGTTACCCAGCTTTGGCTAAGGATATGATGATGATGATGATGATGATGACAATGGTATGATGATAGTAATGGGACTTCCTGAAAATGCCATGTAATTCATGAACAACTTCTAACCTCACATCTACCAAACAACCACATTCGAAATGGCACTGCAGGCCTAACCTAAACCAGTCATAGCTGTCATGTTCCTTCTGCCAGGACTATTGCCCAGCCTCACACTCCCAACATGCTATGCTACAGGGCAGCGGGACCCACCCCATCTCCGACCACCTACGGTTCACCGTTGCACTGGCAGAAGCCTCCAGTTAGCCACTGGATTGTCTTCCACCCTCTACAAATCCCCAGATTTCTCCACCAGGCCTCACGCTCCTGCCTGCCCGAGCTGCTCTCGCGGCGAGGGCGGAGCCCGCGTGCCAGTGTGCCGACGGGCGTAGAATGTCTTATGTCCCCACCTTTCGGGTGGGGCCGTGGGACTCTCCCTAAGCATCAAACTGCCGACTCAGAACTGGTGCGGACAAGGGGAATCCGACTGTTTAATTCAAACAAAGCATTGCGATGGTCCCAATGGATGTTGACGCAATGTGATTTCTGCCCAGTGCTCTGAATGTCAAAGTGAAGAGATTCAACCAAGCGCGGGTAAACGGCGGGAGTACGAGACTCACTGTTGTTGTCCCTCCCTCCCATGTGGCTGAACGGTACGCCTATGTAACTGTGTTGAGTGACAGATGGTGAACTCAAATCCTGACGGATACGATGATGCTAGGTGCTTCTCCCCTTTCACGAAAAGCGGAAAACAGACTCCCTGCTGAGTATTGTAAACAATTGATCTGGTCGTTGATCGACGTATGGCTGTGTAAGATTCGAAGCCATTCCCTGTGGGATTTCAGCGAGAGTAACTCTTCTCGTTTACAGCCATGAAAGGGCTGTGGCTTTGTGCTCCGTGTTTTGTCGTTCTGGTGGTGAGGTGGCTGTGGTTTTCCATGTCCTTCCGCCTTCCCCCCTGCCTTCTTGAGATGGTGATAGGAAAAGAGAGGGTACTAAGCCATTTTGTGCGTTTCACAAGCCATCGGCCGTTGCACTTGTGTATGTTTAGGAGGCAACAACCCCTTGCAGGTCTACTTATGGCTGATGTCGGGGCGTGATGGTTCCTATGCAGGGCAGCAGGAAGAAGCGAAACAACTGAAACTGGATGGCGTTGGTTGTTGCTGCAACGGGCGGTTCGCTCTTAACGAATCCGGTGAACCCCGATTTCAAGAACGAGTATGATCACAAGTACCATTACTCAGCAAACATAAAGGACATGATTGTGCATGGTTGGGTGGCCCCAAGTGCCGACCCTGCAGTGGGGATCTGGATGATCAGTCCCAGCCGCATTGAGCACATGGGGGGTGGGCCAGAGAAGCAGGACCTCACAGTTCAAGTGGGACCCATCTTACTCAACATGCTTCATTCTGGTCATTACGGGACGCCGGTGGTTTTCGTTGCAGCCGACCAGGTGTGGACAAAGACCTACGGCCCTTATTTCATATATCTGAACGGAGCGTCCGAGTCTGTCTGCTCTAGCGTACAGGCGGACCGTATCACAGACTGCTTGTGGGAGGATGCCTCCTCCCATGCAGCTGTCAAAGAAAAGACATGGCCGTACGATTGGGCCACGTCCTTGGACTATCCCAGCAAAGGCTCTCGGGGGTCCGTTTCCGGGCTAGTGAAAGTAGAAGACCCCGATTGGAATGCCTCGCAGTCCCCCTTTCGTGTGGGTAAGCCAGGCAATTCCTGGGTCGGCCTTGCTGCTGAAGGACCGGCTGGAACATGGGCTGTCAATTCCAATGGGTATTAGTATTGGTCCCAGATCGAGGGCGACGGCCATTTCCTGATCCCGAACGTGAGGCCGGGATCGTACTACCTTTTCTCATATGTAGGTGGGGTGGTCGGCGACCATGTGCTTCAACAGAAGGTGGCTGTTGGCAGCGAGGGTGATAAGAACGTTGACGTGGGAACAAAAGTTGTCCGCCCCCCTCGGAAAGGTCCTACCATCTGGTCCATTGGCGTCCCCAACCGGTCGTTCGGTGAGTTCTTTGTTCCTGTGCTCAATCCAAGAAGCCCGTGGCCTTACCCAAACACGGGTCCGGACCGATGGAGAAATTATGGAGCTTGGCTGACGTATAAAGAGTCGTATCCCGAGAGTGATCCGGTCTTTGACATTGGCAGCAGCGACTTCTCACGGGACTGGTACTTCGTGCAGTGCCTAAGGCCCAGGCCCCACCGCACTGTCATACATGAGCTGAACTTTTATGTCATGGACAAGTGTCCGTTCAACGCCGTCATTGGCTTGGGCTGGCTAAAGGCTCATTGCCTAAGAACCACGTGGGCGGATAATCAGTTCGTGGTGCGTGATGCCAACAAAACATAGCAAGGAATACAGATAGGGGTTATAACTTGGTTTATAGGGGGAAAGCAATAGTTACCTCTCAATTCCCTGCCTCCATAACTCCTCCTGAGTTTCGGCAAAGCTCCCACAACCGGTGGGCTGACTCCCCACAGAGTCTTGCTGCGGTCCTACGGGTTGAAAACGCCAGAAAATGACCGAGTTGGCCCATGGCCGACAACTCCGAAGCTATGAGGCCCGAAACGGGAACGCAGGTCCACGGCCCCAGTATAAATTGGGGGACATCGTGCAGGTAAGGAAATGTGCTCGCCAGGTGAAGAAGATGGAGGAGGAAGATGGTGTGAGTTGGCTGGCTATGGTGGATGGGTGGAGAAGATGGAGGAGGAAGATGGTGTGCGGTGGTTGGCTATGGCGGATGGGTGAAGAAGATGGAGGAGGAAGATGCGGCATGATGAGCCGCGCCAGCTGCTCTTTCCAGCTAACACCTAGCGCTGGCGCCCTCACCCTCTCTCCTTCTTCCGCGCATTCGGACAGTACGAAGACATGGCGCCCACACAACGAATGAGTGTGATACCGTTGTTGCAGGCGGGGCATGCGCATCGGCCCACCACAGGGGGGCAAACAACTGTCAGTGATCGTGCTTCGCGATACGAACATGTTTCAGTGGGGAGACCCGGGGTGGTGTGGCACTACACGGTGCCTGGTGTCGCATATCTAGGCGGGGTCAGTGCTCAGCAATCGCCGACATGCCTCCAAGAACCGCGAAGGACAATGCTGGGTGACGAGCAGGGGACATGGGTGGCTTCCGTAATACATGAATACGTATTCCCGACGGGTCGTTTGCGGTCCTACCAACCGGACGGCCCAGATTGCGTCCTGATCTTAAAACTTTAAGATCGCGGGGCAATCGGGGCCGTCGGGCCAGGAACGGCCTGGATCGCCGCGCGATCTTTGGACAACCGGTAGGGCCACCCAGCCCTCGAAACGCCCAAGAGGCCCACATTTTCACTCTTTTTGTGGGCGCCCGCTCTATTCCCACCCCTCGCCTTCTTCTAATCCTTAGGGGGAAAACAAATCTAAACAAGAATCATTTCACTTTTTGCAGAAAGAATGCATTGTCCCTGCATTCTGACCATTCTATCTTTCAACCCTTCATACTTCAAGTAATCAATTTGAAAAGACTATCATCCTTAGGCCAACCGGGCGGACACTCCTTGACCCTCTATACAATCACTTTCCCACAAGGAACTTAAAACAACATGTTGACGAACATACGAGAGGCAACCGGACGGGCACTCCTTGACCCTCTATCCAATCGCTAGACAACATCATTACATGAAGTGATTGGACGGGCACTCCTTGGCCCTCTATCCAATCACCTCTCACAAGGAACAAGAACAAACATGTAAACAAACTTACAAGAAGCAACTGGTTGATTTGCTGCAAGACACGTGCTCTGCTGCCTGAACTACAGAGTGCAAAGCAGGTAAGTGTTTCCTTGAGATCAGTCTGAGTTAAGATACGATACGTACTGCGATTAACATTGTACCTAGGAATTCTCTTGTCCTTTCGTCCGCTCGAGATCGTCCAGGTGACGCCATCATCGTCCGTTGATCCTCCGTGTGCTCTGCACCCCTTCCTCGTTATTGGAAATCCGCCCGCCGGTAGTCAACAAGGAGAGGATGATGGAGGGGTCGGGGCCATTCAGATGCGAGCGGAGGGAAGTATCCAGAAACCCAGTCTCGCCTTGGCGTTCCATCCATTTCCTCCAGCTCACATGCCCCATGATTCCCCTGACGTCGAACCTTGTACGACCCCAACCATCTCTTATCCAACTTCCTTGACCATTGTTTCTCTAGGGATGAGTCATACAACAGTACCACATCCCCAATTGATGTCTCTATAATGTTTAATTCAGTAATAATGAATTAATAATCATAGATCATCACAGATTTGTATTAATGAAAGTGGTGAAATTCTAATATTAGTAAATGTAAATAACAGGAATATTAATCGTAGAGGCGGGGCAATGAGTAGTGGGACTGTAGTGTGTAGGGCTCGTTGATATGGGGTAGGGGGTAATGAGGTGGAGAGAGTGGGGAGATATCGCGAACAGATGAAAGAGATATAATTCCGGGTAAGCATCGGAATACGGAGATATAAAACACATGAAAATTTCGGTGCGGATTGTTCCAATCAAATGATGCAAGTCATTCTCGTCATATGAATCTAATTGTCTCTCTTCCTTGACTCGTTTCATCGGTAGAAAATTTACCACCGCCTCCTCCCGGAATAAATCTTCCGGTTGTCTTGCTCCCCCTTAAGCTGCTTCTCCACTGTGTCCGACATCTTTTATCGGCACCTCCTCCTCCTCCCGGAGTGCACGAGCAGGAAGAAGAAAGAATCTTATCCCGTTGCTGGAGGGAGACCACCTTGTCTCCGCCAACGAGGAAAAGATCAAGGTAGTAGGAATGATGACGAACGTTGCGTTTTGACTGGGAAAAGTTCACGCGTTGGGAGATGTCGTGGTATTAGACGTGAATATGTACGATGTTCTTCTGGGATTATCGGCCCTTACCGCACTAAGAGCCAACCTCGACTTCACGCCAAGCCCACGCCAAACCCACGCCAAACCCACACCAAACCCATGTCAAACCCACGCCCACAAACCCACGCCCAACCCACGCCCACAAACCCACGCCAAACCCACGCCAAACCCACGCCAAACCCACGCCAAACCCACGTCCGCACTGGGCCCGGTATCCCCGTACTTTGTTTAGAAAACGTTCGCGCTCATTCCGTACATACGGTTCTATAACCTTTTTTTTAATCCAACGAATAATACCCATACCCTGGGTTTGTTACTCGGACCGAGGCTTATCAGCCTGGAAACCGGAAAATGTATACATATATGCATACCTACATATATATATACAGTTTTCTATACATATATATATAAATATCCATACATAAAAAATTCTTTTTCGTCAGAACGAACAGATCGAAAGAAATCACAAAAAATTAGAAAAAGATAGGAAAAAATAGAAAAAAATAAGAAAAAATAGGAAAAAATAGGAAAAAGTAGGAAAAAGTAGGAAACAATAGGAAAAAATAGGGCAAAATAGGAAAGTTATTAGAAAAAATTAGAAGGAAAAAAAAAAAAATTGTCCTTCGGGGAATTAATCATTATTGCCTCCGTTTTCCTTCTCCTTAAACCCAATGTGGGTTGACTTACCCTGTATGCGTGTGTGTGTGTGTGTGTGTGTGGCCCGCCCCTACCCCGCTGGGGAAATACTGACGAGAAGGGTCAAGGGAGATACCTGACCCTTCTGGTAAGACTACCCCCAGCATCCCTCTCTTCAGTATCCAAGCTGGGTGTTCATCAGAGAGGACACACTGCACCACCACTCAACCACCTACACATGCAACGTGAATTTGTATTATGTCAATAAGTTCCCACAGCGTGATAAAGGCATGCTTCGAGAATGATATTTACATCCAATAATGTATTGGTATCTTCGCAGCTGCATCGGAATTTATGAAATAGATGAGGCTGGTCAAGGACCATCTTTGCAGTACCAATGCATCTATGCTTCATGAAACCATTTTCTACCATTGTGTCGATTAGTTTTTTTATGTCATTTGCAACATCTGACGCCTCCGAGGACAGGAGCATAATCATGGCTGTTTGAGAAATAATAACGTTGATTGACTGCCTGATCGGTCTATTGGAATCGAATCTAACGTACTTGACAGGTTTGAAGGAGAGGGCTAACGTTTTGTCATGTTTCGTTGTGACAAACCGTCCTTCAGAATCAGGGAGAACTTGGATATCGAGGTGAAGGAAGTGAGCCAACGTACCATATATCATAGCATCAGGTCCCAGGGTAAAATCCCTAGTCAAATTCTTGATTTCAATGATATGCAAGGGATAGATCCAGAAGGGGTTATCGTCCCTTCTCGGTTGCTCAGGGTCAAGAAATTTCAAAATTGCAGGATTTTTTATACTGTGTAAGTCGTCTATGTATCTGAACGTCTGTTTGAACATGGCGGCAAAACCGCTGGCACCGAGCTTCAGTAGTCTCAGAATGAACATGTACTCATACGTGAAAAAATATACATTACACCAAATTGGGGAACAAGGTAGCCCCATGGGGATGCCCTTTACCTATCTCCAGACGCTATTCCCAAACATCGTGTAACACTTGCTCAGAACCCACTTACATAGGTTAATGATATCCTCTGCATTTAATGAAAATGAGTTAGTAGAAGGCGGTAACCATGCCTTTGCCGTGTAGCAGTGAATCGACTCATTCCTCCTGTATACGCACCGTATGCTCGTCCTACCAGAAGATGGTCATTTTCACAAAGAAACTTATTGCCACAATAAGTCCATCAGACGACTGATCTATCGGAATGTTCTCAAAACACTTCGATATGTTAGCTGAGAAAACATAATAAATTTTGTCCGGAAGATTATAGCAATAATCCTGGACGCAGACAATAATCCACCATAAGGTTGTATCCGTACCATGAAAAGTCTTTGCCGTTTTGGCTGTCGCACTGCATTGTAGCATGACCATATCTTTGAGTGTTGTTAATGCCATATCAATCAGGGATGTTGTACTGGTAAGAAAAAAGTCAGAGGCATTCGTCAACCACCTAAAGGTCATTTTATGCTGTTTAAAAATTGTCATAAGATATGGCAGATTTCGAGAATTCATTCTCACCTGTGGGAATGCTCCTTTCAGTGAATCAGTGGCCTCGTCAAGTACCTGCTCAGGGGATAGATCAGAAATCTCGAGATCCTCGCTTGATAATCTCTCTAAAGCCAGGGCACGAATGAGGTGCTTGCAAACGAAAAATTGTGTGTTTCCGGCTTTATCAGTTCCGGCTATGTAAAGAGATTCGGTAAGGTGCTTGAGATCACTACAGAACTGGAAGGAGGGGTATGTCACAGAGCACTTTCTGAGTCCTCTACTGAGTTCAGTGTTTAACACAGTACTCACCACGTTGGTCATATGCTTAACCAAGGCGTCTGGTAAAAACTCAACATTTCTGATGACAAGAATAGTGTCC